AAAAGCACCTCGTCTGTTTCTTTCTCGATGATCTCGCTGACCGCCAACACCTCATGCTGAGCGCTCGACAGCAACGACAAGCAAAAGAGAGGGGGAGTTAGAGCGGAGACCGAGTTACACGTGCGAGATCTACGAGACATGACTTGTGATGCGCGTGTTCGTCACATTCCTACTCGCTACCCCGAGCTACTGCTGATACTCCAACTGTTGGTTTCGCCAGTTGGTGACGGAGGAGGGGTGCATGGGCAAAGCTTCGGCTGAAAGGAAGAAGGAGAAACGTCGAGCGGCGAAGCAGGGGCCATCGGCGCTCAGCAGACTACTCAGCGGGCTCACTGAGGCCTTCAAAAGTATACAAACGGAACATCACGGGATGGAGGAGCTCTCTGCAATGCCTGCTGTCTGCCTTGCTGACAGATCCGTGTGTGCGATACCCCTGCTATCTGGTTCTACTCGCTCTGTGGCTAGTTGGCGTCCGCTCCATCGGCGCACCGTAAGCCACGTGGCGCGTGTGAGAGGGAATTGCGTGGTGTGTGTGTGTGTGTGCAGGTTTCTGATCCTGTCCATCATAGCGGGTATGTTTATCAACTTGGGCAGTCGGCAGGGGTATCTATCAGCCTACTCCATCTTCAACCCAAACCAACGGAGCCTTCTCGGCGATCTGAGGGCAGAGCAACTCGAGGCCGAGCTGCGCAAAGGTCAAAAGGAGCAACACACTTACAAGCAATGGACGGACGTCTACTGATCATTGCATCTCTGCAGGTCAGGGAGCGTCTATCGAGGCGGCCGACGACAGCAACCTGATTGACTTGCCGCAGCAGCATGTGGCATGTGGGGAGCTTCCAGCCCGCATGAGCAAGGCCGCAAACAAGCCGTGTCCTTGCGGCTCTGGCAAGAAATATAAGCGGTGCTGCGCGGTGAATGGGAGAAACGAAGGCGATGAATGGGACTGACCATTCATTGGCCTGCCGATTGGCCCTACGGCCCCTGACGGTGTGTGTAGAGGGACGGGGCTGTGGGGTGGGATGATGTGAGACGACCTGGGCTGTTTGACTACGTGGGGGAATGTACAGATGACAACTCTCGCACTGTCGAACTTCGGGCATCTCAATTCGCTGGACATTGTGTGGTATCTGGATGCGTACGTACATGCGTACGCGTATCCATCCATCGCATGCGTGCAGACACACATACCTGACGTGCCTGACGATCGAAGGATGTGGATGAGGCAGTCAGTCAGCCAGCTGGGGGATCGATGGGATATCAGTCAGTCAGTCATCCACTCACTCACCCACTCATCGTCCTTGGGCAGCAGATACTCATTCGTCGAACCGACAAACACATCACCTCACCACCACAACTCCCGTCAATTATGTCCTGTCTGTCTATCTGTCTGTCTGTCTGTGTGTCTGTGTGTGCATGTATGTCTCAGCGTCGCCTTCGCCTGCCAGCATCTCAGATGGGTGCTTCCTTGCTCTTGTTCTTCTTCTTCACGACACTCTTGAAAGCGCCTGTGATCGATGCTGTCCGCGATTTCTTCTTCCCGCTCTCTTGGCCAGACCCTGGCAGCTCCGCCACTGTGTCCCCTTGTTCCTGCTCCTCTCCCTCCTCCTCCTCCTCCTCCTTCTTCTTCTTCCTCTTTTTCTCCTTTTTCTCCTCGTCCTTGCGGAGTTTTGCGTCTGCTTTCTCTTGTTTTTCGGTCCATTTTTTTTGCTCTTTGTACTTCTTCTCGGTCAGATCGGTAAAGAGAGCTACCGATGCGCTGCACCCAGGCATAGATGTCCATATCAACACCACACATAGAGTCATGCATACCATGCGCACCATGACACCTGACTGAATGTCCATGCAGGCAGGCCTACCCTCTCTCTTTGAGGAGGTTGCTGAGTTTCTCAAAAAACCCTTTGAGGAGATGTGTCTTGAACACGTTGATGAGTGGCTTGAGGTACTTCCACTCCGCTCCACTGACACTCCGCCTGTCACTCAGTCGACCGACCGACAGACAGACACACAGACGGAGATGCGGCTCATGATTAGAGGCCATGCATATCTTACCAGTCGAGATGAGATTTTTCTTTCTCTGACAAGCTGCCCAAAGTGATCTCGAAGTTCCTGGCCTCTGTGTTGGTCGGGTGCAGCACAGCTGCGCCCGAACAGACAGAGAGAAAAAGGCAGGGAGGGGGAGACCAGGATACATAAAAATGGTGTATCCCTCTCCCTCTCCCTCTCCCTCTCTGCGCTTGTACTGTGTTGCGATGCATACCGTAATCATGGAGGATGACTTTGAACAACTGATCTGCCTCCTGTTTCATGCAGAATTACGTTTGTTCCATGAATGTTGTGTCTATGTGTGATCTTACCTCGAGAAGCTCTCTGGTAGAGAGTGCGAGTTGCTCGGGGATTTCTGTTGCATGAGGGCCCCATGCCACACCCTTGCTGCCTTTGGTATACATGTCGAGACGGTACAGTGGGGTCTCGTCGACGGTGAAGGCATGTCTATGTTTCTTCGAAACGTCTAGGGTCATCTTGTCCCTCACCTCGAAGATGTTGAACTGCATCCTATCCCATTCATCAGCCCACTGACAGACAGACAGACAGACAGACCCTGCCGGATTGGACTGCAGAGTGGGGTGGCTGGCAGGCTGGCTTACCCTGTGTAGCTGATCATTCAGCGCTTGCCTCAAAACAACAGGGTGCCATTCCTCTTCCTTCAAATAGATCGAGGCATGGCATGCACGGCGGACAGACAGACAGACAGACAGACAGACGTGGGTGTGCGACAAAGACTGGCTGAGCAAAGACTGACTGGACACCAGTATTTGCTTATCTATCTTCCTAAGTAGAGCGGATTTAGCCTCTTTCCAATCCATCGGAAGTCTCGAAAGCGCCTCGTCAGTGTAGGCGTTGATCGACTGCCATGCTTTGGGCGAGAACAAGCCAGCCGGCTGAACATTCAGGAAGGGACCGGTGGCCGTAAAGACGTACAGGTGTGAATAGGTGTCTCGTTCAAATTGCCTGCCTCGTTGCCTAGCTCTTTGTTGTCGGCCGACAGGGAAGTGAACAGAAGTGCGTGAAGGACACACGGATCTGAACGAACGAAAGAGAAGCATCTCGCTTCAGACGAGGACAGACAGATGGACAGGCGCAGCACCTGTTGGCGACTTTGGTTTGACCTGCAGACAGACAGACAGACAGACAGGTAAGCAGGCATTGACCATTCGACAAGTCAGTGTTGCAGTGGATTGACTGACGTGCGTGTCTTACCTCCAGCTGCTGAAACTCCGTGGAGTGGTCCATCAAGGCGAAGAGCAGCATGATCAAGGACTTGAGACGAGCTGCAGACAACAGCAGCAGCAGCAACAAAAATGACCGGAGAGAGCCAAGAGACACAAGTTACCAAAAGCCCCGTATGCTTCGAGGGCCACGAGGGGCCGTTGCCAGGAGTAATTGAGGTGGATCTGCGTTCATGACAGCCAGATGCAAGCTCGTGTTGTGATGTGATGTGACCTTTGACAAGTCTTTCCACTCCTTGTCCCAAATTTGGAAAGACTTTCCGTAGTAGTCCAGCTTGCGGCGTACAAAGCCTGCAGATCGACGGCTTGCCGCTCTCTGTGTCCGTCAGACGCCGATGTGTGTGTGCATATGTGTGCTGACCAGCCACCCGACGGCCAACACCTTTACTCATGGGGTTTGATCCCGCCTCTCTGTATGTGTGTGCCATGTACCTACACATCACAGCCCAGCATTAGTTCGTTCGACCATACCGACGCGCCACAGCCGGCCCTACACTTCGAAGTACTCTGAAGAAACAGGGGACATACAGAAGTGTAGGGTCTCACATACACACGCGCGTACCTCCCATTATGTCGATCTGCAACAGACAAAGAGGCATGTCCTGTCGTGTCTGCCTCTTTGCTTTGATGTGACGCGTGGCCAACCAGTCTGTTGTTGAGTCTCCTGATGTTGGTCTCCTCCTTGGCCTCCTCTCCGATCTCTGCGGCTGTCACATGGTAGGCCGAAATCTTGCCCTCCTTGATGACCTGTGTCGCAAACTCGTGCTGTCGCAAGTCCTTGAAGGCCTCTCGCTCCAGCGCTATTTTGTGCTTGGTCTCGATCCTGTTCTTCGCCCACTTGACGAACCTATGAGAGAGTCACCAACCCCACAGACAGACACAGAGACTTGTGCTTGGTCCGCGAACCTTTTCTTCTCACCTCTCGCGCAGTGTTGCGAAGCTGTCGTGGAAGTATTTTCGGACGCTCTTTTTCCATGGAGGGTCGCTATCGACAGACGTCGGAGAAATAACGCCATCCGCAAGCTCCTGTAGCCCAGTGATGAGTGTGCAGCCGATGGATGGGCAAGCACACAAGTGAATGCGCCGCCCATGTAGGTGGATACCTGTCCGTATTCAGCAAGCACGTCGACCAGCTGAAGAGAGAGATCCCGCCGCTGTGTCGCGAACTTTGCGTCTGGGACGGCCCAATATTCAATCTGTCAAAGGATGCGTATACGTATATGCAATATGGAGAGATGGGGAGAATGAGAGACGTGGATCGACCTCATAGACGGTGTCCAGCCATGCCGCTTCCTCCAAGTATTCGCTCAACGTGCTGATGTATCTGTCCACCGCCTCGCGGTCAGAGTGGTCTGTGGATGCCGAGTGAAAGAGGCAGTGAATGCAGAATCCAGTCGTTGCTTCACGTATGTCTCACCGCCCCAACCGCGGAGCCCGGGTTTGTCGATCGCCTCGGCAAAAATATCCCCCGGCTTCTGCCCCGTTTCCTCTTCCGTAGGGACTTCAAGGACACTTTCAAGGACGTTGTCGATTCTCTTGCGCAGCGCCTTGAGGAATTTTGATGGCGGGGCCTTCTGAGGACTTTCCTGGCCGCCCGGGACCCACTCTGGGATGGAGAGCTCGCCGAAGAGGTAGTCGACCCAGCTGGCCGCCTTAGATCCCCAGCCTTTGGCTTCTCCTTCAGACTCAGCCTGGGCTTCCTTTTCGGCCTTCTCTTTCCCCGTCTGAAGCCCCTCCTGAAAATACTGATCTAGCGTGTAGTTGACCGCCTTCTTGCCCCAGCTCTTGCCAGTCTCCCACGCCTTCCAGCCGAGGGCTTTGCCAAGGTCCTTCCCCTTCTCATACACCTGGGCGGATAGGCAGCGTCATATGCGGTGAGATCATGTGTGTGTCGATGGATAAATCGACATCCCGACACTCACCTCACGGCCAAGAGCCTGCACGCATACGAGAAATGTACAGACACTGCATACGAGAAATGTGTAGACCTGCTCACCCGTACAGCGCTATCGATATATTCGGGAACGACCGCCATTGCAGAATCCGTTTGATTCTCCTTTTTTGGCATCCCCTCTTTTGGCTTCATGCCTTCGGCAACCCATCCTATCTCGGCCTTCCTGGACTGCCTCTTACTTGTCTGTGTCTGCTGCTTCGGCTCGGGTGTAGGACTGTCCCTATTTGCGATGAGGGATTCGGCAGAGAGCGGCAGCTGAGAAAGCAACACCAAGACGGCGAAGAAGGGAAACATGGCGGTATCGTTGCCGCAGACGAGGGTCGGTGGATGTGCGATGAGGGAACCGGGAGAGAGCGGCAGCTGAGAAAGCAACACCAAGACGAGAGACGAGGCCCCCACGCCCCCATTCCCCATCGCATGCAACCGTACACCTCCTTTGTAAATCCCTGGAGCCTGGGAAGGGCGCTGCAAAGCGAAAGAAGAAGGAGCGCATAGAGGGCTTAGTGGAAAGAGACAGGGGCGGCCGGAGAGGGGAGAGAAGGGCAGGGTGTTGGCGTCTGACACCACCCGTAGTAGCCCTAGTAAGAGCAGCGATGTGTCAGATGGGGGGGAAACTGTCATTAACCGTAACACTCGTCTGTGTGTCCGTGATACTCATACAAATACAGTCCCATCAGCACGCAGAGTCAAACAGGCTCAAGGGGAGGAGGGATCAATCCCCGCCCCATCAGCACACCCCAGTCCCGCAAACCCTCCCCTCCCTCCCCCACGCAGACAGAAGCTAGTCGCACGCGCGAGGGCGATAGACAAGCGAGAGCGAATCCATCCAGACACATGACTGAACCCCCGACCCTTCCACCCCTCCTTCTCCAACAGCGCATGAGCCATGTGGGCGATGAACACGTTGGCATCGTGTCCCCACACACCGTCACACGTCACCACCAGAGGGC